AGAGTCCGCTGACATCTCCTGCTCTTCCAGGAACTGGCGAAATACGAGGACATGGAGGATCAAGTGGTGCTAACTGAGAAAGGTACGAAAGCGGCATCTGCCCCCCGGGCTGGTAGCCCCCTGACGGTGTCTGTAGCTCGGGTGCTGACTTACTGTGGTGTTTTCTAGAGCTGCTCGAGGATGGCTTTGGCGAGCACCCTTTCTACCACTGTCTGGTCGCAGAATTGCCGAAAGAGCAGTGGTCGCCTGAAGGTGAGAGTTCCTGATACGAATTTTTAGACGCTGAGTACCCAAGAGGCAGCTTATACTTAATGTTATCGATTGTATGTAAGGTTTCGCCAGTGAATTGGGGTAGGAGGAGCAGGTTAACTGTTAAACGCAGTAACATACAGTGATACTCTGCTGAAGTAGTTGCTAATCCTGGAGGCGTGGGAAGATTAGGTGTAACATAATGTGCTTGACTCCAATTAATTAAATGGCTTTTCTTGTTTGACCCTGACGTGCCTTTATGTAATCCTGTTGAATCACATTTTTTTCTTTAATTTGTCCCCAATCTTCAGGTTACAGTCTCTAGCTTCGCCATGTACATGGCCCTTCTGTGTACATGGATGGGCGGGGAGGTAACTAAAAGATCCGTTACACAATAAAGTAGATGATCATAATATGAGGTAAGGTCTACAGGGACAAGTGCTATTCCCAAACCTTTACCAAAGACACTGTAGATCAGAAATCTGTTTGCACGCTTCTCTTACAATATGTGCAGAGTGTTATGGCAGATGTAGTTAAAATACTCAAGGCTTAGGTTTGAGTGGGCTGCTGTTGGAAGAGTTGGTTTCTCTTCCCTGTTGAGCCACAGAATTATAATGGAAGTTGCAGCTTTACTTACCTTGACTTTATGGTGCTGAAGGTAAAGAACATGGTGTGATGCTCTTGGTGGAAGCTGGAAATGCTGCTGAAGAGGTGGCCTGGAAGCACACGTTCTCACACGGTGTAGTTAATAAGGAATATACATTGAAAGATCAGTGTTTCTTTAGAGTTTGATAGACTGTTTTGGTTGCTGAGGAAGCAGAGTTGGGGCAGTCATTTAGATCGTGAACTGCTGTGTGAAGTTTTTACTTGTATTCCAGAATGGGAACACCGATAAATCAGTAGGGTATGCATTTGTTTGTAGAAAGAAAAAAAAGCCTTGTGTTCAGCCCTTACTATGAGATACGAGAGTGCTTTTGAGGATTTCAGGTTATGGCAAGGGCAACCTCCGTTGTGTTAGACTGATACAAGTTTGAACTCACATTTTTAGTTGTGGGGTTACTTGCAAGTTTCATTGTTAATTTTAACCTAGTAGCAAATGTCTGCATGTCACAGAAAGAGAATTTGTATGTTTCAATATGCATGTAAGACTTAATATTTGTGCCTTTTAAATTCAGACTAGCTGAAGTTATACTCCTTGTTTCAGAGCACCGCATTGTGGGCTTTGCCATGTATTACTTCACTTATGATCCATGGATTGGGAAACTGCTGTATCTTGAAGACTTTTATGTGATGGCTGAGTATAGAGGTATGCATTACAGAATTAGATGAGCTGCTTCCTATAGGGCTTCCTTAAAATGAAAACTTAGTTTCTTCTTGTGATTTTTGTTTTCTTTTAGGACTTGGCATTGGATCAGAAATTCTGAAGAACTTGAGTCAGGTATGTCTGAGTGCTAAGTCTAACCAAGCAGAACGGAGGACACATGGCAAGGCAGCGTTCTTGCTCTTGTGCTAACTGCATGAGAGCTGCTCCTTTGGTACTAGTCAGAATTAAACCAAAGGAGGTGACAGGACCCTAGGTGCCTTAAAACGTTGTCTGGAGTCTTGTTAAACAGTGACAAGTGCTGAAGTGACCGACAGAATGAACTTGATGATTTCTGGTGATAAACAGTTAGTTGCTGAGTAGTCTCCGCAGTTCTTGCCAAGCTACTCTGGGGCTGTGGTTTGAAACGTGTCGTGTTGCACGCTTTTGCAGCTTGCTGTGAGGTGCCGCTGCAGCAGTATGCACTTCCTCGTGGCGGAGTGGAACGAACCGTCCATCAGGTTCTACAAGAGAAGGGGTGCCTCTGATCTGTCCACTGAGGAGGGGTGGAGGCTCTTCAAAATTGACAAAGAATATCTCTTGAAGATGGCAACAGAAGAGTGAGAGATTATTCCAGCAGTTAAATTCTTTCTGTGAATGTGTGCTCTCTGAATAAACTCCTTCTTGCTTTCTGTGTACGGTTTGTAGTGGAATAAAGTAGTCTGGATGCTGATAGTGAAAATGCTGTGCAGGTGTGGCCGTAGAGCAGTTGGTGCTGTGACCCGGAGCTGAGGCATCTGTGAAGTCAAGAATGTGCTTGTGTGCATCCTTTACCAGTGTGGGCTTGTAATCCTTGTATATGGAAACTTCATTCTTGTAAGTGTCATTCAAATGTGTACAATGTACACACTGGTAGAGTTTGTTTTAATTATTGCCTTTTATAAGAATAAATAGTGTTTGCACTTCATGGTGGTATTCTGACTTTAATTCTCACATACAGTTTTCAGTTAGGTAACATGCAGATTAGTGAAAGACTTAATTCACCCAAACGGTTTCACGAGTGGAGCACGATGGATTCCCTGCAGGCCTGGAGTGGCGGAAGGGGGGATTATGTGCCTGTGGGGCCTTGTCCTGAGCACCTCTGCTGGAGCTGAGTGTGTGAGGGCTGCGAGATCAACCTCTGCGTCCTGCCGGGGTGTGTTCTTTGGGAGTGAACTGCATGGGGTTGGGGTTGGTGTGGCTGGAGCCCCTAACTGAGGCTCCTGGTCTCCACTCTCTGGCAAGTGGCTCCAGAAAAGCTGGAGTTTGTGGCATTGCCTTGTTGGGACTTTCACTGAACTGCGGAGCACCTGGGTCAGGAGGGCATAACCTTCAAGGGGAAGATGCATCTAGCTGTAGTTTGAAAGCCAAAATCACAAAGAGAGGTTTGGTCAGGAGTAGGAGAAAGTGTTTTTACAAACCACAAAAAAAACTCCCTTATGTGATTCTTAAAGCATCCAACTTGAGTGCTGCTGGTAGCCGGGGTTTATGTACGTGATGGCAGATACGGTGCGGAATTTTTGTGTGTGCCTCAGCGTTGCGTAGTCGGTGGAAGTGGTGAGGTACCTGAAATGACGTGCTGTGTTAGGCAGTGGAAAACATCCTGTGTGTTTAACCCTTTGTACAGCAGTAAGTGAAAACAATGGTGCTCATTGATTATTTTTTTTTTAATTGGCTTTGAAACAAATGTGTCAACTTTGCAATACTGTCTGCCCTTCTTGTAAGTTGATGGTGAAGGTGGGTGTACGCGAGTTCTGCGCTGCTCTCCCCTTGCTCTGTGGTGACCCTGCAATAAAAAGCTGCTTTTGGCCAGCACCGCTTTCACTTCAAAGGAAGGGAAGAGACTTCCCTGCCTTGTAACGTGCGCTGGCTTAAGTAAAGCAAGGTTTTAAACAGATTTTGATCACTGCTTAAATTATGTGTCATCTGGAAGATGTCTCCTCGTCCTAGAGAGTAGTGGGCAGTGCCTGCTTCAACTATGAGTAACGCTAAACTAACTTTAAGAACAAGACGTCCCTCTGCTTCGTGCCAACAGCAGGCTGTGCAGGGCATTTAGTGTGAAATTATTCTTGGTTTGGTTTTGTTTTTGTCTAAGGCGTAGGCAGCAGCGTGCCAGCTCTGCCCAGGTGTGAGATACGGCTGTCAGCTGTTGGCTCTGGAATGAGAAGAGCAATAAATACAGGAGCTCTTGGAAGAGGGCAGGAGGTAGCGTGTGTCCGAGTGGTTGCCTGGACAAACGCAGGCAGGACTGAGCCCAGAATCTGTCACGTAGATTACCCTGACTTAGATCAGGTTCCGCATAAGCAACAGTCACGTCCAGACGCTCCCCGTGTCTGCGCAGCACCTCGGCTGCTGCGAGAGCCTTCGTACCACGCACGGGAGCCTGAGGCTCGGATCCCTCTCCTGCCCGAGGGGAACAGAAATCTGTGTTTCTCGCTTGACGGCAGATTGACTGCGAGGCTGGCAACCGCCCTGCTCGCTCCTGCTGAGCCTGGACTCTTCTGCAGTCCAGTAGCCCAAAGGAGGTGAGAGTAAGCCCGCCTGATGAACTGGCGCGGCAGGCAGCGCTGGCGGCCGTAGGGGAAGGAGGAGATGGTCTCCGGCAGCTCTCGCTGAGCGTCGGGGTGTTGGAGCTTCTCACCCGTGAAGCTGCAGTAACTTCACTGGTGCCTCTGTGAGCTACGGTGACCTGCTCGTGTGTCACACTCCAAGTGGAATCTGTTTTGAAGTTATTTTAAGCTGGTGCTTTTGGCTCCACATATCAGTCCCGAAGGTGATTACTAGCAGGGCAGGTTAAGAATGCTTTCATTTTCAAATTAACAGTTCATTAGATATCTAGGACGGGCCTGCTTAAATCTCAGGCCCCAGACTTCTGGAGCACAATAAGGCTATCAAAGCTGCATGACTGAATGGAACAAGCTAACTAATTAGGCATTATAATTAGGAAAGTAAGCAGCTTAGTCAAATTTGCAATCAATTTTAAATTGTTTATCACATCTTGTTCATCATCTTCTGTCAGTGCATTTCTAAAGGAATTCTGCTGAAATAATGGATTCTCAGGGAGTCACAGAAAACAAGCGAGGCAATGCTAAATGAGAAGACCTTTCCTAGCCAACTGTGATAATTTTAAACATTCACACATGAAAGTAAAGACAAGGACTAACCTTTCAGCTGTGACTTTCATGGAGAGCTTACTAAGAGGTAGAGTTTTTAAAACCAGCAGAAGTATTCTTAGAGCTATGGTAACAGTCTCCGACAGAATGATGTGGTAATGCCATGGTGTGAGAAAAGACCAATTTTAAATTCCCCCAATAACTTTTTGCCCTCAGGTTCCTGGGGGACCAAAACGACTCTGTAACTACGATCGAGACGTACAGCAGAGTATTTTCGGTGGGTTTAGACGTGGGTGAGACTTCACCTGGCTTGTCTTTCTTCGTTTCCAGGATCACGAGCACGCAGCCAAGCTGCAGTGCGAGCGTATGATGGGGGCTAAGCCGTACCAGTGGGCTTTGAGCTGGTCACTGGTATCACACCAGTGGGAACCCATCACAGCGCAGGCACACACACACACACAGCCGTGCACACACATGTGCACACACCCATATACACACACAGAGCTGTGCATACACACACTCAGACACACACACGCACACACCGACTGATGGCAGCGCCGATGCAGCCTGCAGCGCGCAGCTATTTGCCTTGGTTTAACTAATTCACCTCACATAACAGACTCGGCTTTGCCCACTTGTTTCGCTTGCCTGGGCAGAATTGCTTAAATGCCTTTTTTTTTCCAAGAGAAACTGCGCTTGTTGGGGAAATTTTTTTTTTTTTTTTTTTTTTTTTTACTGGAACTCAGGTTTCAGAGAAGTGGCCGCAATGTAAGGAAAGGCCTTCGCTGCCATCTGAAACAGAACACCACACGACTAGCGTGCCTGCCGCTGATGTTTAACCTCGCTGCAGACTCAAAGCAGGCCGTAACCTCACCATCCGACTCTCCTTTCTTCCCCCAAGACCTGGCTACGTATTTTTGCCGTTGAGCAGGTTTTTGGCCAGCGCAGCCTTGACGGAGGGCTTTAGAGCCCACCAGGAGGGGAGCCCGGTGCCCGCAGGGAGCGCGTGTGGGGCTGAAGATGGCGGACGGGGGCTCTGGGGCAGGAGCACAGGCCTCGCCCTACCGCGCTACGAGTTTTTCTGCAATTAATATCAGAAACGCTCGCCGTGGTTGACCGCAGAGTAACGTACAGGTACACACCTCCACCAGAAATGGGGAAGGGGGGAAAATTCCATCTTCAAACCAGTTTCGGTTTCCTTTAACAGATTTACTGGAGGCCAAAGCAAGAGAGAAAAAGCCCCAGGGGAGAGTTAGCTCATGAGCATGAAAAACAAACACCGGTTGCAGAAACTCCTCTAAGTTAAATAGTTTTGTTTATTTGTATTGGGCCCTTTGTGTCCTTCTGTTGCCCACACAGCAGCTGTCAGCTGGTCACGGTCACTCCGAGGGAAAAGGCATCGCCGTTTTCTTGACCTCTGTCACCCTTCCCCAGCAAAACCGGTTAAAAAGACTGTGCCTCGGTCAGACGAAACCGGGTGCCCGTCCTCTCCTGAAGGTTTGTGGTGCAGTGTGACGAGGTGGCTTCACGTCTTCCCTAATCACCTCCCAGGAGCCCACCGTCCGGGGAAGGGACATGAACCCTGAAATTCCAGCTGGAAACCTTCCTCCGCCTGGGACAGAAAAGCATGAGAGAGATGGTAGCTTCCCACATGAAAGCCCATCGGTGTTTCCAAGTAACCTGGATATGGCAGTGGCGTTTTCAAAACACACTGGAAAAAGTGCAGGGTGAGATTTTTCAAAGCCGGTTGCTGTAATCAGGCACCCAGCTACCACTGCGAAGGTGCCTTTGAACAGCTTTCCTCTCATTGCTCTCATGATGAGCAAACTCCAGTCCGGGCTTTTCACAGTCTCCCTGAACTTCCACATTTGACCGTTATCGGTCACCGATACAGAATCCCCACCGCGCAGCTTGTACAGGAGGAACCAAAAGGACGCGTAGGTTTGGTCTGTAGTCTTGGGCCTTTTGCAATCAGATCGTAGGTTAGGATTTTGGACTTTTTTCGCCAGCCAACTTCCTACCATGGGCCAACATGGCGGTACAAGAACATTTCCCACCGCACAGCAGAATACGTTTTAGCCACAGTTGCAGGCACACTGGTCTTCCTTCTTTTTTTCTTGTATTTTTCAGAGTTGTGTGGGGAGAAGGCTCAAAATCTGCATTCACCACTCCTAGAGGTAATCATCTCTGTACAGAGCTGCAGCTTTGCCGTTGGGGCAGCAAATGTAAAGAATAAAGAGGGAGGAGGCGCGGTGGGCAGCTGCGAAGGGCTGGCAGGCAGAGGGGCTGACCGCGGCCCCCACCACGTGCCCCACGGAGGCAATGGCATCAAGGGAAATGGTTTGGGCTTCCTTCTTCCCAGGTAAATGTGATCAGAAGAAACTAGAAGACTCTTATTTCGCAAAATCAGAAGTCTCGGAGGTAAATTCCTGGCATACATTAATAATTTCTGGATTATTATTTACCTCTCATGGATCTCATTAGCCATAACTTCATGGATTAGCAAGCACTGGATTTAGGGGTGTAGGCGCAGGAATTATTTGTTGCTGAAGAGCAACAGGCAGAACTGGTGGATAGAGGTAGCAACAAGCACTAGCATCAAAGAAATAACACAATATTAATCCATTTTTAAAGAAAAGCAAAACTGGCTGAAAATTCAAGGGCTAGTGGCAGTCAGTGTCAGCTGTTCCTTAGCCAGGCTACACCCACTTCATGTAACCACATATCTCTGAAAGCTGGCAGACTGTAAAAAGGGCTGATAAAACAAAGTCCACTGCACCACAAAGTACAGCTGGTCCAAATGATGGTGAAGTGAGGACAAGGTTAAAGAACCCCAGAGGACAAAAAAAAAAAATAAACCCAACCTTTTCATAAGCAAAGACTTGGATTTAC